TATCCCAAACGATATGATAGACTCTGATGACCCCCTATGGAAGGCCTCAGTCTCCCTGGGGAACGGATATGTGATAGGTAGGGTTTTAATTGGGGGGGCAAAGGAGGAGGAGAGGGAGAGGGAACTGGGATTGACATGTAAAACAATCTTGTTTCTAATTCAAATACAAAAAACATCTAAAAAAAAACAGCCATTAATTCCTATTGTGTGGGATGCACCATCTCAGAGAATATATTAATTCCATTCTCAGCAAAAATAGACGTTCCTTTGACAAATATTAGCATTATGGTTCACCCTATACCTCTCCCCATTTTTCCCAGAAAAGACTACTTCTAGATCTCTGTGTATGTTCCCTGAGTAAAATAATGGCATGACATCATATTCCTGCTCTCAGCAAAACAACCACATTTCTACAGTATGATTTGGTATAGTGTAGAATTTTCTTCAAATGATAGTCACATTAGGCCATGAGAATGTTCAGGATACTGACACATATTGGTCATTTAATTATCTCATTTAAATACTATGCATCAAGGATTCAAACCAGAATTTAATGAGTATTTGTTGAATGAAAGAATTCTGCAAGAGAAATGTTTCTCTTAGGGTTGGTATTGTGGATAAATAGGCTAGAGGAGAAAAATGGGGATGAATTTTTTAAAGATCCTACAACTGCTAAAGTATTAGATAGAGATTTGAGCCCAGGATTGCTTTATTTCAAGTCTTGCACTCCCTAATTACACAGCATCTTTCTTGAATTTGGTGATGAATTGCTCTGCCCTGAAGTTCTAAACTGAGAATTCATCCTGTTATTTCTTATTTTACTAGTACTCAGGAAGCTAATAAAAGGTAGTTACCACCTATGCCAGGCAGATTTTCTTCCCTCCAGATCCATGACTAATATCAACATAACTTCCTTTATTGTTTTGAGTAAATTCTATTGTTGAACAACAATACTATACAGACATATGTGCCCATGTTAGTCTGACATGCTTGGTGCAAAACATAGATGATAATCATGAAATGAAACATTCAATCTAATAAACAATCACCTGTGTTTGAATTAGAAAAAGTAGGAATAAACAAAAGTCCATCTTTCCATTCAAAATCCCATATAGACTGAACTCACTGTGCTAGGGGAAGCACCAGTTTGAAAGACTATAATTAATACACACTATCTCTATCATGCCTATACCTCCAACAACCTCACAAACTTAATGTAGACACTCACCAGGGGCTGTCTGTAGACAGCGAGGAAGTACTCTTGATGACCTTGAGTGTGTTGACTTCATTCACTCTGACAGTACATGAAATATCCCTATATTCCATCTTCATGGTCCTAATTAGTGTTGTCTGATTCTATCCAAGCATAAAATTATCATAATCAGATGATGAAGTCTCCTGAGAAACCTGTTACATCAGAAGAAATCCCCTGGATTTTCCTTTCTTCTAGGGAGAAAATTAGTTTCAGAAGAAGCCAGAGTTTTATAATCTCTGGAGGATTTGAGATGTGAATTCATCTCTCAATCATGCACTGAGAATATAGTTAGCATCCATGTGGCAACTGAACACAGTGCATATTCATCTTCCTTTCTGAGAATATAATTAGAAGAAGCAGAGAGAGTGACTTGCTTTGAACTAGCTCCTATGCTAAAACAATGACGTTTATATGATTTTCATGAGACAAATAATGAAGTAATGATAGTACTAGAACATTTGGGGCAGCTTTTCTTGGTTAGGCAGTGGCTTCCTCTATAGCCTTTTGGAGGAGAGGCAATGTTTGGATGCAGATAGCTCTTTCACACAATATTATTGTTTATCTATGATCAGTGAATGAACAGATTTCAAAAAGCTGAGTTGCCACTGAAGCATGTAACAAATAATCCTACCAATGCAAAAGTTGAGAGAAGCAAAAGGAGATCTTTCTAAATCCACCCTGACTCTAAAGAGGTCCATTATGTGAATGAAAAAGGAAGGAGTAAAAAAGGATGTACATTTAATAAATTATAAGCACAACCTTTATATCCTGTACTACATTATACTTCTAAGTATAGTGGGAAATTACCAATATGGAGTCAGGTAGAAATATAAGGGTATTTAATAGGGAAAAGCATTACTTACAGAGCAACCTAGCCAGCCGGCGTGGCAGCAGTCTGTCCAGCAAGTACAAAAGTGAAACCGAAAGAGAAAACGCAATCCCATGCAAGAATCGCTCTACGTCACCCTGACCACGCCTTCGCAAGCGTGGTCAGGCACACCTGTAGCCAGGCCCTAAGTAGGCATGGCTACAGCTTCCCCTACAATTCCCCTTTTAGTCTAAAAGAGGATTAAAACTTAACAGTGTAAAGTATCCAAAATTAACAATCATAAAGGTAAAATATAAGAAGATACAACAATCTGCTTATGTCACATCCTAACTATCTATTTTAACTAAACCCTAAAGTCATCTGAAAGAGGTGTCCAAGCCTGAACACCTCCTTCCAATCCCAACCATAAACAATAGGAAGCTATCCCTAACTAGGTATATATACTATCCTAAATGACAACAATGGGGAAAGGGGGTGTAGCATCTTCCAAGTTACTTCCTGCTGAAATGGGACGATGATAGTCATGTGGGGTCCTGTAGGAAGAAAATATTAGTGTAGTAAAAGTCTTGAATGTATTGTATCCAGTCCATGTTAGATGGATTCTCTTGATAGAAGATCTCACTTGAAATCAACTTGATTGAAGTCAGTACCTGAAGCACTGGTGGGAGTGTCAGTTGAAATAGAGCAAGTTGGATCCAGTGAAGGCAAGGAGGTGTGGCCCATTTTCTTTCCAGAGTTTCCAGGAATTGCTGTCAGGCAGGTCTTCATTGGCTGTGTGGGACTCAAACATAAACAGCAGAGAAATGTTTGCTTGTGTATGTACACATACTGTGAAAGGCAACCATGAGAGCATAACAATTATGAGAGGGTGTACACTTTGAGAGGAAGATCCAAGAAAAGACAAAGACAGTCCCCAAATTCTTCTTTTATTCTGTATTACATCAATTGGCTTCTTGATACAACACAGAAACACTAAAGTTTAGTTAAATAACATGCTTGGATTTTAGAGGAGGAAAGCCAAATCCGCATCTAAATCCAGCATTGGTTTAATTGAATAGGGACTAGGAAATGAAGAGAAATAGCTG